TAAACTACTTTGTTTCGTGGCACCTTTTCCACTCAGGTTTTCAAGATTTGGAGTTATTTGGCTCACCAAAGCAAAACACACTCCGTCCAGGTCTCTTAGTAGAGGAGCACAGAGAAAGCCAACAGCATTGGAGGTTAACTTTAAAAAAAAGAAAAGGAAGATGCTGTCTGAAGCAGTGAGCTGCACCAGTCGTGCCTTTTACTGTTTGTGCTGTATTGCATAGCTCTTATTTTAATTGCACCTTTTTACTGCTTGAGTTAGGGGTGAGGTAATAAGGCAGTGGCCTATTACGAAACCCCACCTAGTAGAGATAAAATATTTAAGTAACTCACACCACATACTTACGATATGAAAATGAAACTTGGGAAGAAATTGCTTAAGGAGTTCACATTTTCTAACACGGTCATCTCCATAAACACAACCAAAGAGCTCAGTTTAACCCCCGAGTGTGCGCAGGCCCGGTTCAAGGAATAGTCAATGGCTCCTGTCCCTTCCCTGTTAATAAGGAAAGGGCAGCAACTGACTTAGTAACCTCATTTCACTTCTACCTGTATTTGAAATCTCACCGTGCCTTGTGGAGGAATCAGGATGGAGAGAGCGACCAGACTCTGTTGGTTTTGCCTTCCTCACTTTATTTTCTCTGCCCCACAGGCCCTGACCTAGTGGAAGAGTTGCCCAGCTTCTTGGTGAGCGCTGCATTTTGTGGAGGAAAAAGGTCTCTAGGCTGATGCTCGTCCCTGCTGACTTACTACTCGCAACTTCAGGAAAATTTTGCTCTGGAAATCGTCTTGACTTCACTCTATCCTGCTGTCCTCTCCTCTTGAATACAAGGAGTGATTTGCTGGTTTCTGCTTTCCTGTTCTAACTTCCTATAAGGACCTAGGAATAGCCCCTTGCCTGAAATGACACCTGTCTTTATTTTAAAACACCCTTTAAATAAACCTATCTTCCTTCTTTACAATAGCAGACGGTTGCTTAAGGTTGCAACATACCAAGTGTTGGAATCTTTTTGGAATTTAAGGATTTTACATATTGCTTCTAAAGAAACCTGAGTGTGTGATAATCCTCACAGAAGAAATATCTACCTTGTGAATGGCTTTTAGCCTTTTGAGGACATTTTTTTTTTACTCCTGGATTATTGACAAAATAAAAAGAAATGTCGCCTCTTGGAATTTTCATTTTTAATGCAAGATATTGCTGGGCAACAGAGGGCCTACATGGCATCTTTCTATGTTAGTGTGAAAAAGAAAGGCTGCAATGGCTAGACTTGAGCCTCTTGAACTGGGATTGTCTCCAGAAGTTCTACTCAGGCTACATCCCTAAATAAAAGTTGCTAGGATACCACTTGTGGGATGCACAAATAATACTGAGTTTCAAAACAAATGGCTGAAACTTCTTTCTTACTCACATTTTGTTATAAAATGATTAGACTTCATTTGAATGTATGATATATGGCTTGTTCTATTTACCTGCTCCCATATAAAACTTTATGCTGCATATTTTTTTTTCAGCTGACAGTAGTATTAGAATACCCTACTTTTTGGAAAACAAGTGAGTGAGTTGCATGGTGAGTTACTTTAGCTGGCAACAGTGTCACTGGATTTTCAAGCCTGTCCTACTGCTCTTTCTGAGCGCTGTGCTTAATGGAGCGCGAATGTGCATCTTCCACCTTATTTTTTTAGACTGTTGATACGCATAGACTATGCATAGCCTCATTTTTGTGCACAGCAAAAATGTATAGCCTCATTTTTAGATAAAAAGAGAATGTCTACGGTCTGAGTAGTAAACAGGTTTTAACTGCAAAAAGTACCTGGGATGGGACAGAATATATTTTGCATGTTTAGAAACAGCAGGATGGGCTTCTGCTCTGCAGCATTTTTGCTCCTCGCTCCCAGACCATTTGTATGCAAGTTTCCGTCCCCTCTCCCCAAATGGAATGGCTGAACTTTTCTGTTCATTGGCTAGCTGCACAATGTCGTCAGTGGGGCGGTGATGCTGGGACAGGGGTACTACATTTTAACCAGAGGCTGCTTATCTCCTTTCTCTTTGCACATCTGAACTCTTGAGAGCACTTTCCTCAGGCTGGCAGCACGTAGGATAGAGTAAGTATGTTCGCTGTTCGGGTTTGGATCTCTGCACTGAGTTCTGAGGTACTTGTAAGAAAATGCTCTAATGGGTATCATTCAGTTGGTAAAACTGGGCTTAAAAATTGTTATTTGATGACGACTGACTCAGAACAGCACTGGAAACATGCTTGTTTGGTTTAACTTTAGTGAAGGAGATAGCTGCCTGCTGCATGATAGCTGTTTATTCTTTCGTATTGCATCCTTTTGTCCTAGGCAACTGTCTTGATCTAATTCATCCCTTCAGTGTCGCCAACCCCTTTTGTCTTTCCTTTTTGCTTGAACTGTAAAGTGAAAGAGGTTTAGCGTAACTTGACATCCCAAATATATATACCATAACTGATAATTTTTACCTTTTTTTTTAAATTGTAAGTAATCCTGGAGTTTTGTAATTAAAACATCCCTGCAACTTCGCAACACATATATTTTGTCAAACACCAGTGATCAGAAAGCTATTGGTCTCCCCCACCTGAAACTACAATTACATTTTAACTCTAGTGTGCTTAGTTCACACTGAACAACTCATTTTTTTTGTATTTTACCCTTCCATTTATGTTTGCTTTGTATTTATCCTGATTGGTTTGCCTAAAAGTATCACTCTGAACAAATCATTAATTCATTAATGGATTAAAATACCTTAGCAAATGGCATAGGAATACCTTCAGAAACACCTGTGAACTCTTCCTGTCTAAAGTTTATTACAGAGGACTTGGATTTAAAGATCAGGTTCGCCGTATGCGTCGCATAGTGCCCTCAGAGCAGGAGCTGTTTCCTGCATAGTCCAGGTCCTCAGGAAGGATGGCTTTCTCCAGGATCAGAGCTATCCCAGCAGCGTTATTCAAGTCAAGGTGCAGCAGCTGACACGAGAGAGAGGCATGTGCCCCTGCCTTATCAGTTGGCTGAAAATCTGCTTACTCTCATGTCTTTTTGCGTTTTCCTTAGAAATCTGTTGGGTTTTTTTCCTTTTCTTGAAGATGGGCTTTGTGCTAGTCATCCTCTCTTGTCCTCCTGCCATGGAGGGGATGGCAGAGGAGTTGTGACATTGCACTGCTCTTGGAAATGGAGCTGTCACCTGTGTGTGTCCAGGCTGTGTCCTGTGTTGGGGAGGGTTTTCTCTGAGCTCGCCTTGGGAGGCACTGTACACATTGGCAAGCGCAGGTCAACGACCAGCTACGTCATGGTAAAGGTACAGGGAGCGACCAAGGGTTGCATGTTACGTGTGTTGGGATTACAACAGGGAGACAGGTTGTTCCTCTCATCCAGCTGCATTCCTCCTCCTGACCAACAATGGGAGGTGATTCTTGTGACAGAGGGACACATCAGACCTCTTTGCTGGCCATGCAAAGCCCTTTGAATAAATTGTGCCGTTTTCAGCACAGAACTGGTTTGGTTTATTCTTCTTATGTAAAATACTTAAGCCATTTTTTATAGTTTTAGATTGTTATTTGCATACACCAAGATTTAACGCTTTTAGATTATTTTTTGCAAGTAGTGCGTGCTGCGCTTGGGCTTAGGACCACCTGCCAATTTGTAGCTACTCGCTTTCTGCTCCGCTGAATAGCTTCTTCCCGGACCGCTTCACTTCTGGGAATAAAACTTTCCCTTCCGCCCATGCAGTGGCATCGTTTGTGCATGTAGTTTTTATATGGTTGGACTAATGTGACTCTAATAGCTTATTCCTTGAATAGCTTAGGAGGCTAGCCTTTGCTTTCCAATGAACTCCAAATAAAGATACACGTACTTACTTTATAAATTATGGACTTACTTTATTTACTTTTTTCTGAATTCCAGTGGTTTTTTTTCAGCGTAAGTGAACTCTTTCCAGCTGTGTGGTGTCATTGCCAGGATAGCAATTCTGAGGTGGTGTACATCAGTAAATATGTAGAATATACGCATAGAAGTTAATATCTCTTAAAAAGCAAAGGCTAGCTTTCAAAGCTGCTCAAAGAAAAAATTGTAATATCAGTCCAATATGTGTAAGTTATGTGTAATGACATAGGGAGGGCGAAACTGAGAGAGTTCAGTTAATTTTTGTGACTGGTTTTTTTCCAAACTGCTGAAAAGGTTTTGGACAGTTCAAAGTTACAATCCAATTGCAGCCTTTGCTCATGCACCTGCTTCCCGCAGGCCAAGAGAGTGTTAATGTGTTTTTCTAAAACTCAGTGGAACGGGAGAGCGGAGTGGATGTCCTGCAGAACCTTATCAGAGCGAGCTCCTTTATTAAGGACACCCGGTGTTCCCTGTTGTTTTTCCTCATGGTTGTTCTCTCCTAAGGAAAGCCAGAGCTGGAAATTGATTTCCCTGTCTCATTGCTTTTTCCTTTTCATAAAGAATTTAGGGCTCTTTCAGATATTACCTGTGAAAACTCTTGAGTGGTTCCATTCAGCTCTGAGCGCTGTAATACTGTGTTCATACACTTAGTTCATCAGAAGGGCTTTGCCCTCTGCAGACTTGGATTCTCCAGGAATTTCCATAGGCTACAAATCACAGCCCGGTCACTCGTGAGAGTTTTTTCCATACCACAGACGTCTGTATGACGTGGAGCAGTCGCCAGCCTGACGGAAGGAAAACCAGGATGGATTGCCCTGTGTCTTACTTCTGTTCTGGAGTGGTTCAGTCTGTGACATTCAGTTTGTATCACACCTGATTAAGTCAGTTATCCATTTCATGTACACCTTGCTTCTTTTGTTGTTTCTTTTTGTTAAACCAACAAAACCCCTTTAGAAATATCATTGCCTGAAACAAAGTGACATTAACCTCTGCTGTGAGTTGTGTTGCAGCCAGCACTTAAACCCGTGGTCTGTGAAGCTCTTGCTTTCCTAACCTCCCGCGGCTAATTCTGGCTGTTTTGCTTGTGTTCTGGTTTTCTGCAGACTAATGGCCGAACAAGTGCTTGTGATTGGCAGTGGAGGGAGAGAGCACGCGCTGGCCTGGAAGTTGGCCCAGTCCCCACATGTAAAACATGTATTTGTTGCTCCAGGAAATGCAGGAACAGCGGACAATGGAAAAATTTCAAATTCAGGTAGACCAAAAAAAATTACCATTTTTAAATTTGCTAACTCAAAAAGTAAGTTGTTCTATTCGTTGATCTGAAATCACAGCTGTTAATGTGAAAGGTTTATTATTATTACTACTGGTTTTTAAGGGTTTGGACACTGAAATAGATTACATAGATGCAGTTAAGAAGGAAAAAACGCCTGAGCAAAGCCTTGTGCAACTACCACTCATTTTATATGATCTCAGTTATGATATCTAACTCTTTAGGTTTGGGGATGGCAGATCCAGCCAAAACTCCCATTTGGCTGATGCACATTCCTCTGGGAATACAGCTTGGGATAGGCGCTGTGGTTCCCACCTCCCGGCAGCCTAGCAGGGAAGGCACTGCAGTTCAGCGTCTGGCTGGTGAGCAGCTGATAAGTGCCCGAAGCAAACTCCAGCACCTGAAGTACTGGGATTCACTACTATATTCTCAGAAGTGCACTGAAGCCCCGTGATCCCTACAGCCTTTGATGAGAATACAGTCTCTCCTGACATGTTCAACCAAAGAAAAACATTTATTTCTTTGTCTTAATGACCTCTAAGAAGTTAGGGTTATTCTCATATGTTTCTCTCTCAGTACTGACTGCCTGTTTTGACCTTCTAGCTTAGTATGTCAAGCTCCAACTGGCTGTAATTCAAACTCTTCTTAGTTACCAGTTCTGAAAATCAAGCGTAAGGTATTTCAAATTGAGCATCCAAAACTGTGGCCTGTCTTTTAAAAATATACTGGTCTAAGGTGCTTGCCTGGAGTGAGGCATACAGTGAATTGGTACAAAACCAGGGGTAATTTCTCAGAGATTCCTGTCTTGTGTCCTTTATATAACAGACCCTGAATTAGGTACTTCAAACAAGCAACTCAAGTTTCCACTTTAAAACATGTGCTAACCTACAGGGCCGAAGTTAGCGTAGTAGTTGCGTGAACCTGAATTATGTACGTCTGTTTTCTGCGTTCATATTTGTATGTGAGCAAAACCTCTTTTTGTTACCGTCTCATGTGGAAACATGAATCCTGTCGGATTCCTGTATAGCAGGTAATTATCGTATTTAATTACATTGGAATGCTTAATTACAGGCAGCTTAAATAACTTTGTCCTTAATTTCTTTGACTAGTCACAGTATCATATAGTAGCTTTTTGTTCTATTTGGTCTCCAAGGAGAGGGCCCAAGGAAGAGCCTGACGGGAAAGTCACGCATTTCCTTCTCATCCCAGAAGGTCAAACGAACATCTTTACCCTTGTGCTAAATGGAGTCAGTGACAGTCTGTATGGCCTGCAGAATGTTAATGTCAGTATTTTTTTGCAAGTGGTGTCTTTTAAAAACTGCTGTGCTTTTCTCTCACCTTGTTACTCCATAAGAAACAGTGCACCCTCAGCAGTGGAAAACATTTGAGCATGTGCGCAATAATGCTCATGCCAGGTCCATGAAATCTACCATGTGTACTAAAATCTTTTTTTCTAGACTGTGGCCTCACATGTACTTTGGGAGAGAAATCCTCAGCCAAACAGGAGACAGGAAGAATCTAGAATTTATGAAGAGTTTAACTTCTTTGGCTTTTAAAGAACAATTTGTCTTGCCTGCTCAGGCATTATAGTCCTGCCAGTGGGGTCTAGATTTTAACTCAGAGGGAAAAGATGGAAAACAGCTTTACAGAAGCATGTGAGCCCTATTATATTGTGTGAGCCTGGGCAACAGTCTGTGAAACTGCTACTATTGTTTCTGGTTTTTTGGTATAATCAAGATTTGGCTATGAAAGTTCATCCTCCCTTCATGGTTCATGAGATTGACTTTAATTAGCATTGCAATTGTCAGATGATTTCTAAAACATATAAAGGTGAGCTTAAAATTATAAATTACCTTAAATCCTTCAAACCTTGCCTGTATCTAAGTGAAAGAGAATTTTTCATGGTTAATTTGAGTCAGTAATCGTTTCTGACAATAAAGACAGATTTAGGTTGAGTGACTAAATATAGTTTTATATTCAATTTATATTTAATTAGCAGGGCAGTTTTGGTGCCGGCAGCATACAGAATGGCCTGCTGAATCCAGAGATAGACATATGCATGTCTGTGAATGAACCTGAGCATCCTGACACCTCTTCCATCTCATTGTAGCTCTCAGTGTAACTTATGTTCTTAACTTTAATCTCTAGCTTGGAGGACCTTGCTCCAAGGTCCTTCTGCCTTGTTCAAAGGGAATGTTTAGCTGTCGTGTTGAGAAATGAAACACAGCTACAGAAATGTCCCCTTTCAGTCTACATCCTGAGGAAAACGATGTTTGGGGACAAGTTAAAATTATGTATCATCAATGTGATGTATTCCTTTCCATTTGTTACTAGGACAAAATCTTGTGCCACATTCACTGTTCCTATCACTAGTAGATCAGTCCTGCGGCAAGACAATCTGGGAGGAAAAGCACAGGCGCCTTATTTCCCTACTCCCCCTCTCATGGATTAATCTCACAGGGAACAGGGACCGTCCCTCTTCAGTGTCCCAGCAGAGCTCCCACTCTCTTTGATCGGGATCTGCTGTTCTCCAGCTGCTTTCACAACAGCCCCATGGGACTGAAAGACAATATTGACCTTTATGTTAATCAGTACTTTAAAGCCAAGTGTGTTGTTTTTGGTTTTGCTGTCTTGTGAGCCAGAAGTCAGTTGGCACATGGCAATCAGAGGCCTTTGCTTCTCCTAACTTACAAATGTTGGTGGAACAAAATAATTGAACTGTTAAATAGGTATCAAGGAAGTAGTTTTTATTAGTGTTCTGCTTACTCCACCAAAATAGGGTAAACCTATAACCAAAATACAGCTTTCAGAGAGCTTTTATGCCATCTCTTAGGCAGAAATAGCTGCTTCTCTTGTGGAAACAGGCAATTTTTTTCATACAGGGTGGCAGCATGGTGGGCACTGACACAAAATCATGTCTGTCTGTCTAGCAGAAGCTGCTATATCACTGCCTCTCCTTTCTTCAAGGAGGTTGTGGAGAAGCGAGTGTTGGTCTCTTCTCCCTAATGACAGATGATCGGACGAGGGGGAAGGGACTCAAGCTGCGCCAGGGGAGGTTTAGATTGGATGTAAGGAAGAAGCTCTTCACCGAAAGGGTTATCACACACTGGAACAGGCTGCCCAGGGAGGTGGTGGAGTCACCATCCCTGGATGTGTTTAAGAGACGGGTGGATGAGGTGCTGAGAGATATGGTTTAGTGGTGGACAGATACGGTTGGACTGGATGATCTCTAAGGTCTTTTCCAACCTAGTGTTTCTATGATTCTATGATTCACTTCCCCGAAAACTGTCTGGAAGAGGCCATCAGCTCCTGGCGTGCTTGTCAGTGTGGTCACTAACAGGAGATCACAGAAAAAAAATTAAAGCAAAGTCATCCAGCTGCAAGGAGGGTCTGTGCTGTGCTGTACCGTGCTCTCTTTACCAGCTTTGTGCCTTGATGTGTTACTCTCCTCCCCACAGGGTCAGCCAATCCACACTGGGCTGCCCTCACCGCTTTTTTGGCTCTCTGTGGGTTCATGTTCCCATCTTCTGTAGACCTTGGCTTTATTTATTTTTGATAAAAGCAGTGGAATTGCATTGCCTTTGCGTAAATTTTTTATCATGAGACTTGACATTATTGTCTTTTGTGCAAGTTTTTTCTTTACACAGTATTTGGCATTCCAAGTATCACCATATTAAATGTTTGTTTATGGAAAGATAATGGTCGTAAAAACCTAAGACCAAATATCCTTACACGTAATTACAGCACCTCCCCTTAGTAAGTTCAGCCTAATGTAAGAAAAAGTGTTCAGATTCCCCTTTATTTCAGTGGGGTCAGTTTAGTGCAGCAATTTTTAGCTGTCACTACAGAAAGAAGGAAAATAAGAAAAGAAAGCTGTTGCAATCCCACCACCATCCACTTGTTCCTGTCCCCTGCACCGTGCCGGCACGAACATGTGTAAAGCTTCATCGTGACCCTTCTCTGGGAGGAGAATGGCTGAAAAATATATATATATATGTATTTTGCTTGTGAATTATTTTTCACTTGGATCGTTCGCAATGCTTCTTGTGCTGGCAGACAGGATGTTCCTACAGATGAGACCACTTTACTGTATGGCAGCGTAGGGGAGCCCAAAACTTTATTTCTTACATTCAGGAGCAAGGTGGGTTAACATCGAGTGTCACACCACAGCCTTTGCCTGGGGCTTTGGTGGTGTATTTTGGGCTAAGCCTTGCGCATAAGTCTGTGTATCAGCGTATGCCTCGCTCATCCAGATTCAGTGACCTGCCCTGCAGGAATGTGAGACTGGTGGAAATGCTGCTGCGGGGTTATGTGATAACTACGTGCTAAGCAACAGTAGTGGATGCAGTCTTACTGCCCTTTCGTGTCTTCGACAGCTGTTTCAGTCAGCAATCATGCTGCGCTCGCCCAGTTCTGCAGAGATCAGGAGATCAGGCTGGTGGTGGTTGGTCCAGAGGTTCCTCTTGCTGCTGGTAAGAGAAAGCAAGTTAAAAATCATAGCCTTCATAGTTTAGGAAGAGAAGTAAATTTTAGTCCCCATCTTCTGTGCGCCACTCAGCAGTATCTGAGTGTCTTCAACAGGAATGGAAACAGATCCTCCGTGGCAGCTTCCCTGAAATTCAGGGTGGTGCTGTGATGAAAACGAATTTCTGAAGGGTATTATTTGAGCAATGTAACAGTTAAAATATCCTTACATGTTCTGTTTCCTTTTAAGTGCTTGGGGTTAGTAAAAGAGGTATCAATGTGTTTCCATATAGGAACCCTAACTAGAGTTTTGATTTTCCTGTGGAATTTTCATTTTTGGAAATAATAATAATTTTATTATTTCCTTGGTTAAAAAAAATTATAAACATGCCGATAATTTTTCTGTTTTAAGCTTTTACATGAGCAACAATTTTCATCTTCACAAAAGACTAATGTTGACTTTTTAGCTAAAAGCTCTAATAAACCGAAGAGGATCTCTTATCAAATGCAGCAGATCTCCTTAGCCCCAGCTATTGCAGGGTTACCTGCTCCTGATTACAGTGAAGAATGCACCTAAGGCCCATCTGGTAAAATAGGCCCTGGATAGATATATGTGGCTTATCATTCCTGACATACTTGTTCCAGCAAATCAGTGCATCTGTAGACTTGGACTACCTGACTCCTATAAATCATCTGGTGATTTATACTTTTGTTTTTTGTGTTGTCATTTTTAGGAATTGTTGATGACTTGACAGCAGCTGGAATAAGGTGTTTTGGTCCAACAGCAAAGGCAGCTCAGCTGGAGTCCAGCAAGAGCTTTACCAAAGCCTTTTTGGACCGTCATGAGATCCCAACTGCGCGATGGAAATCTTTCACTGATCCTAAAGCAGCATGTAGCTTTATTAACAGGTAAAAGTCTTGTCATTTCAGAAATACTTTTTTACAGCAACGTACAGTGTGTGAGGTATCCAAACCAAACCATCGGATGATTACTAACGTATCAGTACCTTTGGCTGTGATAGAACATCTCTAAAGGTTTTAAAGGATTATCTAACGTGGCACTGTCACACTGCAATATATCTGATAATCAAATAGTTCTTATTTACTGTTCTGAAACAAAAATAAAGTTCAGTGTTCAGTTTACAGGAGAACACAGGACATGTTTTGGGTTTTTTTTCAAATTGCCTGCTGTGGAAACCCAACTTGCAGTCTGATAGTCATACGTTCTGCCTTCTTTGTACCTTTTCTCCACAAATATAAATTCTGCATTGGACACTTAATCGGCAAATCCTGATCTACTCATCAGAATACATACACATTTGACCCAAAAATAGTGCAACAGTAAACTATTAAAAGGAAAGCAACCTTTCTGAACAGTAATGAAATTCAGTGGGGGGGCCGGGGAAAGGAAGCAGAAATTCTTCACAGGCATAGCGTAACAAGAGAAGCCTGGTTTTTATTTATGTGTCATTCAATAAGGTAAAATGGTTGCTATAAAAACTGATAAGTATTTTGATCTTTCACCTATTGAAATGTTCAAAATGCCTATGAAATGTATTTGCAATACAGAATGTTTACTGTCGAATCTCTCTGTCTTTGAAGTGCAAACTTCCCTGCTTTAGTTGTAAAAGCTAGTGGCCTGGCAGCTGGCAAAGGAGTAATTGTGGCTTCAAACAAGGAAGAAGCCTGCAAAGCTGTTACTGAAATCATGCAGGTGAGTAGAAATGTTGTGCACTAACTGGAGGAGTTCTCACACAGAATAAGTTGTTAACCATCTCAGAGTCTCAAAGGTGCTCTTCACTTCTTTGTAATAGGAACTTGGCTAAAAGGCATCAAATCTTTTACCTGTTATTTGGGCAGCTATGAAGCTCTGTCAGATTTATTGCTTGAGGCAAGGTACTCTTTCTAGGCATACTTCCTGTAGGCTAAGATAAAATAATTCTTAATGAAAACCCACACTTAGTTCCATACAGATTTAATTTTTTTCCCCTTTACGATTTGAGACTGCTGCAATCAAACAGGTACTACAGAGCTGTAATATTACTGCTGTGATTGAGCTGGATCTTGACAAGCGGGGTCAGCTTTAGGACTCCAGTCACACAACACTTCGATGTGTAATAAATTTCCAGTGGAATTATTTCAAGTTAAGTATACATTTAGGTAGGATGTACAACAAATACGTTAGGACCATCCAATACTGCTCCCTTCCAAAGGATTCTATAGAATTGTGCTTTCTTATAAAGTCAAAGTTCAGATTATAGACTTGACAGTCGCTGCCGTTAGTCTCCGTATCACAGGTCCCAACTTCCAGAGGTGGAGCGTGGGGAATTGCTCAGTAAGTCATAATTATCATCTGCAATTTAAAAATATTCAAGCGTAGAATCTGCATTTGTGTTAGAAGAAACGGAAAAGCGGAGAGAGGATTTTACCATTACTGACATAGCGGGGGTGGAGAGTGGTTTAACAGTCTCAAAACTGTGCTGCGTTTTCCTTGTTATATTAAAAATATTTTTTCTTGTTGCATTTTGAGTAGTTCAACTGAAACAGAACTAAAGAGGTTTTGTTTTTACTGTAGGATAAGACTTTTGGCACAGCTGGGGAAACTGTTGTTGTTGAAGAACTTCTTGAAGGAGAAGAAGTTTCTGTAAGTGTGCATCTCGCTGTAAACACTTTGATTAGACCTATTCTAAACCATGTAGGAAACACTGTGTAAGTACCTGCAGCAGGCGTGTGTAGGATTTTATTACTTAAAATCAGATATCTGTTTATAAGTAAAATTGTATTAGTTAGACAGCTGTGTTAAGAGCCGAACTTCCTGCAGTCTGTTAAAGTAATTCATACTGAATAAAAATAACTCCAGCAGTAATCAACCATTGACATGTGGAAAAAAAAATCAAACCTTAAAAATTTTGAGTGTCATTCACTGCGTGGTTCTGCATTAGGATATCTCTGGCAGCAAAGACAGCGTAAGGTGTCCCCTCCCTTCCTCATTGCTACCTCCCCACTGCTGTTTGCCTTTGATTCAGTTTTACCAGCTGCCTGTTCGTGAAGCTAACACCTAAAGACCCTTTTTTCAAAGAAGTCATCACCACCACCTTGCATGTTCTCTGTGTTCTGGTTTAGAGCCCGGTGCCATTTGAATCAGTACGAGAAACAAGGTGGTGAAGAGCAAAGGGAGGCAGGGAGTGGTTCGGAGTAAGGGAGGGTGGAGACTTTCTTTAATCAGCTTTGCTGATGAAGGGAATATGTTGGAACTACACAATGAAGGAGCAGTAAACTCCTTTGGAGCAAGAGAACAACAAACTCAAGATAGGCACAGGCATGATCCTGTAACTAGTTTCACTGCTGGAGATATTGCAGTGTGGAAGTGGACCCAGGAATGAAGGACTTGGAACTAAAGGCTGCTGAATGTTTTAACAGTGTTGATCTACTCTGCAGATGTAGAGAGAATGTTTCCTTCATTTTTAAGCTGATTAGGCTCCTTCATTTAAAAAAGTGTATCTGATTTAGTTTGCAGAGTGTGAAGGAGGAAAGGAGAATTAGAGCCTAGGTTTTGAGGTGGCAGGGCAACTTGACACCTGCCTCACACACAAAGTAGAACAGCCAAATACCAGCTCAGGTTCCCGAGTCCTGGAGCTGGAATTGACTGACTGACGCTGGATGTTGTGAACATTCATCTTGGAGGTGGTGGCATTTATAAAGTAAGCAATCATCTCTGACTGTTGCCAATCTTTGCATAGTCTGGTTTCCTGCCCTGTAAGAAAAAATTAGATGTGCAGATATCGGTCATCCTTATTCCTTCCTGGTTGGCTTGACCTTTTTAGGAACTAAGGGGTTATCCAGATCTTCATTCTCCAGTGAAAAATATGTAATGCTCTTAATTAGTCCTTAGAATACTAGCTGACTTACTGTAATATGACACGATAACATAAACATGCATATTAAAGGACTTTTTTCTATGACGACTGACAACAGTTAAGAAAAGTTAGTTTGCCTTGCCTGTCAAAATAATTCACCTTCCACAAATTACTGTAGTTTTTAATATATGAATATTTTGCCATTTTCAGGTTTTGTAGGGGAATCCTTGCTTGGTTTTTAATTAGCATTATAGAATGTTTTTGAGTACTGCTAGTATTAGTGCAGTCAGTGAACGTCATCATCATCCAGTTACAGAAGATGCCAGCAGGCTTGTTAGTGTGAAGATATTGAGGATAAAAGCATCTGCTATATAAGTAATGTATAAGTAATTCAAAAGTAAGTAGTTCTATCAACAAGGAAAAGGGAATTGTGAAAGGAATGTAATGCCTTCCTTCAGGGGCAGGTGGGAGGAAGGAGGAGGGAAGAAGTAGCTTGCATCGTGGAGTATTTTAGTTTATATTTTTTAGCCTTTTGAGTATTTCTTTTCAGAACTACAACTACAGAACTTATAATTTTTTTATATGTTATATTAAAGGTGATTTCTGTAGAAAGCTCAGGCAAAATGAGGCACTGCTTCCTGAGGGAAAAGGGAAAATGTTTAGATTAGTGTAGTTTGTTTGACAGGGGAGACAGAATTTATACTCTTAAATATCCACTTGAAGCACTGAAAATCAAACATATTTGCACTTCTTGCACTTTAATTTTAATCATACACTGGAGTTTTAATTATTCTTCTTGTTTTCTAGTGCTTATGTTTCTCTGATGGCATCACAATTGCACCCATGCCCCCAGCCCAGGACCACAAGCGATTAATGGATGGAGATGAAGGCCCGAACACCGGAGGGATGGGAGCTTATTCCCCAGCGCCTCAGGTAAAAAGGCATTGATAAAGAGATGTTTCACTACAGTTGTACTACAGCTCTAGTACTGAAAGCATGTGTGAATTCTTAGTTCCACCGTGATGAACAGGAGAGAGTGGGAAAGGGTTGCCTGAAACAGACATGGTCAAGCAAAGTCATCACAGAATGGTTTGGGTGGGAAGGGACCTTAAAGACCATCTAATCCCACCCCCCCTGCCATGGGCAGGGACACCTTGCACTAGACCAGGTTGCTCAAAGCCTCATCCAGCCTGGCCTTGAGCACTTCCAGGGATGGGGCATCCACAGCTTCTCTGGGCAACCTGTTCCAGTGCCTCACCATCCTCTTTGTGTAGAACTTCTTCCTGATATCCAATCTAAACCTCCCCACTTTCAATTTAAACCCGTTACCCCTTGTCCTGTCACTACAGGCCCTTGTAAAAAGTCCCCCCCAGCTTACTTGTAGCCCCTTCAGGTACTGGAAGGCTGCAATAAGGTCTCCCCGGACAAGTTACAGTCCATAACTTAATAGATTCATTTCTCTAAAGAGAAAGAGATTTCTACTGAATTATTTTTAATTATAAAGGTGGAAGTGTGGTTATTTCTGCAACCTTATATTTTGATTTTTTTGGTGTTATGAAACACTGAACATTAGAACCAAGTGTTTAAACCCACATTTTTATCTTATGCCAAACTACAGTAATGATGAATTTTTGCCATGCCTTAAGGTAGTTTGGTTTCTGTTTGGCAAGGAACTTCTATTTGCAAAAAGACTGACTTTGCTTTTGCTTCACCTGTGTCACGGACAGCGATTTTTCTTTTTCCGTTTCAAAAAAATATGGCAGTAGTTCCTCTATAAAGCTCTTAATTGCGTTTATTGAATAAAATTTTGTCACTGGTTACTGTACTTTCCAACTGTGATTTGTCTTTGGGAGGCCTTATCTAAATTCCAGTATGTCTGTGCAAATGGTTTGTTCCAGTGATGCCAGTGAGATTGCTTGCACATGCAGATCTAAGCATGGAAGAAAAAATGCAAATGGTTGTTTTAAAGCTGTGGGATGTTGCCTGAGGAGAGAAAAAAATATTAGCTTTCTGTTGTATGAAAGGTTTTGGAATGAGCAGGAGACCATCCAAGTGTTGTGCTTGGCTCTTAAAAATGCTAGCTGTCACAGCAGGAAAAATCATGTGGTCCCTCTTTATAAACACTGTTTTCTAATCCTGTTTTATTAGATTTCTAAAGATTTACTGCAGAAAATAAGAGATAATATTCTTCAGAAAACTGTTGATGGCATGAGGAAAGAAGGTGTCCCCTATTTTGGTATGTACAAAAGTTTGGGATTTTAATCATAAGGAGAAAGACTTTTTTTTGTTTTCTTCACTTTGTCCTCTTCATAGGCCTAACTCACACTGTAAGTTGAGGAAGATAAGTTTGATTTATTTGGAAACTGTGTGTGGTGGCAGCAGCAGCTTGATTTAGAGTCCATTGAAATCAGTGGATATCACTTCATTAACAGTGAATAATCATTATGTAAAGAAGGACAGAAAGGAAAACATTTGAAAAATAAGCTGCAAAATTGTGCCCACAACTGGTTCTGCCTGATTTACTTTTTAACACTTCTCAGTTGTTAACATCCTACCTTTAAATGAGCACAGGAGGCATCCTTTTTAACACTGTTAGGAATAAATTCAGAACAAATGACCTGTGCAATTGCTTAGATAGCTTTTTATTTAAATTTTTATTCTAGGCGTGCTTTATGCTGGATTAATGCTTACCAAAGATGGACCTAAAGTTCTCGAGTTTAACTGCAGGTTTGGTGACCCAGAGTGCCAGGTGAGTTGTTTTGTAGGTAGGTACAGTTCGGCATTACAGGAGGAGATGTAACACATCTACAATTATTCTTAACTAACTGTCAGATGAATAATGAGCTAATTGCACTGAGGTGTACAATACTTGGTTTGTCTGTTCAAGACAGAAGGTCTGTTAGGAAATTGTTCCATTCCAGAGGAGATTTCAGCAGGTTATACTCAAATGTGGGCTTTATGAGGGTAAGCTTGGGTGCAACTCTGCACTTTCCTATCTTTTCTGGAATGGAGTCGGGGTTTTTTTTTTACTTTATTAAAGAAGTGAACACTGCTTCTCCCCTCTCCCCGTTGACAAGCAGAACAAACCCCTTCCTTTCCATTCTTCAGAATAAATCGGGTTCTTTGGCCTCTGCCTCTTCCCCTCCATATGTAGCAGTTCGTTTACCCATCGGAATTATCATCTTCGAGGCAGAGTATATTTAAAGGTACATTGATTATGTATAGTATGTATATATGTGTGAAAATACACTCTATGAACATGCTTATTTAAGGTTACTTCTACTGTGGCATTAGGATTTTTAAAAGCTGAGTGAAGAAAATAAAACCATGTACACTGTTTTCTTTAATTTGCTAATCTGTGTTTTTGTAGGTAATTCTTCCGCTGTTGAAAAGTGATTTGTATGAAGTCATGCAAGCGGTTATCAATAAAAAGTTGTCTAGTTCCATGCCAGTTTGGTTTGAAGACAGCACAGCCGTGACAGTGGTCATGGCGAGTGAAGGGTATCCAGGAACGTATCCCAAGGGTTTGGAAATAACAGGTAAATACAGCAGGAGAAACCGCAGAAGACTGATTCCTCTCCTGCCCTCTCTCCGTTCTCTCTTTTGCCAGATGAAGGTGAATCAGTGTAACTCAGGTTCAGAGAAACTGTAGATCCTGTGGTTATGGGTCTGCAACAGGTGACTGAGTTTGTTGGCAACGCGCCCGTGGCGTTTTCATTTCTGCCCCCCACGCTGTTCAATTCCGTAGCGTTGCTTTAGCGTGTGTTACAGTAGCGTAGTGCTGGGCTGGGCACTGATTCCTACCGGGTGCTGACGCCGATACGTTCTGTGGTCTCTGTGTCCGTGAAGAATGCAGCTGGAGTTAGATGTTGTGTGCAGGCGTTTCAGCTAAACACCTCTTTCTGGGTCTCTGAGCATACAAGTAGCAGGTTTCTCCCTCCTTACGATGTAGCTTTTGCAAATCTATTCCTATTTCCCAGCATGATCACACTGAATTCTATTGTGGTCTCTGGACACAGCCTGAGTGCTGAACACCTATACACTTGTAATTTAATAGATAATGTTCTAATCGATTGCTTTTTCTGCATTTATTTTCCTAAACAACCACCACAGGACTGTCGAAGGCTAAGCAGCTAGGACTGGAGGTGTTCCATGCAGGCACAGCCCTGAAGGATGGCAAAGTGGTGACTAGCGGAGGAAGAGTCCTTACAGTGACTGCTATTAAAGAGGATCTCATGACAGCACTGCAAGAAGCCAACAAGGGAGTAGCAGCCATACACTTCAAGGGTGCCATTTATAGAAAGGACATTGGTTATCGGGCTATAGCTTTCCTGAGACAATCCAGGTAGATACTTGAAATACTTGAAATGGAAATAACTGGTGTAAAAGGGACTTAAAGACATCACTAGTTTACATTAATAAGCTGATGTTGCTATTACGTATAACTCTGGACAAGTTTTAGCTACCATCGTTGTAGGCCAGACCAGCCGAGGAAGGAACAGGCTCTCTCATCCACGTTCTTATTCGCCCCAGCCTGAGTTAAACTACAGTGACAGGCACACAGGAATAACTTGTGCAGTTGCTGTCTGTTATATCTGGTTTAGGGAAAGCGAACTTCTGGTTCTTGGGCTTCAAACCACAGCTTTTGCTCCAGGTTTGTAATGGCCGTAAGTCTAATATTAGTATCATGAAATGTGCTTATGAACAAAGTTTGAGCTATTTGATTGGTCCATTTTAGAGATCTTTAGAAATGGTTAAAGTTATCCTGAAACACCTACCTTGTTGGGATATGCATTGTAATGGAACAGCTGGCTAACAATGTGGGTAGGATTTTTTGGTCTTTTTTATCATTATGCCTTTTATTTTCACAGTGTTCGGTTTAACAGTCTTGAGACGATATGGATGTGGGTTTTTTTTTTTAAGCAGCACGTCCTGCTGTCTCTCTAATGTCATTGTGAGCTTCTTGCAGGTTTTTAGACTCATTTTTACCTGATATGAAGCGTATCTGCCTGCGTATGCTCCAATTAGCCCAAAGCATAACTTTTGGTCGTAGGTTATTTTGTAGTCTATGAGGCGTAGTCCTAAGAGTTCCATTTTTGCTGACAGTGTATACTGATTAGTATATTGTAAAATTCTGATCAATAAACTTAATGAATGAATAAGGGCGTTGGTATTTAGTCTTCTTTTTCTCTCAGCTACGGTGCATCTTTAGAGAAATTTATGTGGAAACGTTTCATTGGTATTTTTATTGTAGCAGAAGAAAAACCTAGTCATTGTGTGAGGCAAGAGAGGGAGGTACTTCACAAGCAGTTCCCTAGATCACCGAGTTCATGGGCCGTGGCCAGCAAGTGTCTTGCCTGGCGTGCCGGTGTGCTGGGAGGATCCCTAGCTTGTGATGGAGACTCCTGGGAAGTGTTTCGCCTGTTTCACTGTCTCCTTGAGTCTGCACCAACTTTTGCTTAGAAATCCTAAAGCTGGAATAATAACAGACGGGCAGGCGTGCTTCACTTTGGACTCTGTTCCTCACAGTTAAGGAAGGGTGATGGTTGGCTCAGTCAAGTTGGGGATGCACCTCCTCTTGGCAGATTTCCAGGATTAAGTCCTGTGCATTTCACCTTATGAAAATATCCAGAATATTTGTGTACTAAAATATATTTTAGAACAATGCTCTCCTTTTAAAGAGTCAAGGTAGCTACCATGCTTTTAAAAATAAGGTGAAAATACACTGAATATTCATCATGTTCAGACTGGAAGGGCCTGACTGGTCTCACATTACTGCAGGCTGATGTTTCCTTCACTCTTATTCACAGGCGGAACAGCTGCTGATTATAATTGTTTTCCTCTTGCACATTTTTGAGCAGTGATGTAATGTGAGTGCAGATATCTTTGTATTTTCCTGGTACCGCAGCTCTTTGGCCGGTTGTTTTGTTGTACATGTCCTTGTTAATCAATAGCGTGTCTCACCCTTGGAATTTAAACTTAATTCTGAACAGTGTCTATGAAGAGAGCAAAAACAGGTGTGAACCTAAACCGGGGCTGCACCCGGTAGCCTGGTTCGTGCCACAGGCAGTGTAGAAATAACAACTGCGTAACTGGAGTGAGAAGTGCTTGGTACAATTAGCAATTAAAAGTCATTAAACTCACTGTCTCTAAAATGGAAAGGCCCCTCTGTAAATAGGATAACGATACTTAGTGTCTCCAGTCAGTCGTGTGGACAGCGGAGTTGCGTACACCAGTTTGTGGTGAGGGTATTTTCTGTGTCGTACGGCTGTGTATAAAAGAAAAACACGGAGCTTATGGACGTTTCTTTCTAGACTCCTGAAACTCACCTTAGGAACTTAGTTCTGTTGAAATAAACTTAAAAATACATGCTTTAATAGAAAGTCTGTTTAAGTAGGAAAGCAGTGCGGTTGGTTTTGTGGTGGTGTCATTCCAGGCTATAAGGAGAGGCAGCCCTTAAGCTACAGTCATAAAGCTCTCCAAGTGTCCCAGAAGGCTACAGATTTACGTGACATCAATGCTGGGAGAAGCTAACTTGCGCTTGGTCCTGCTGGGGCAGCCCGACTGAGCAGCGCGTTTTTGTGTGCAGTTTGTTTTGCGCGCAGGAGCTGTACTGCTGGTACCGCAGGAGCCAGATCCGGTGTTCCAGCCTTGCAAAATCAGATCCATTGTTCCACCTCTTTTACCTTGTGGTTGTATTTGCCTTTTTCGGTTGGTTTTTCTCTTGTTGTTTGCCCGAATGGCTTATGATGCTGATGCTCTGAGGGTGTCTTCAGGATACTGGGCCTGTTTGAATAGTGCTTATGGCAAACTCTCTGTGGTGCAAATACATGAAGTTTTATTTCTTTGGGGTAATGCTCCCTATCTTCAAGGGTGTGTGTGAGGTCAGATTCCAAACAGCAAAAAGATTAACCTTTGAGCCACTCTGCCTGCCCAAAATGAATACTACAATACTTAGACATCATTTTATATGAGCAAAGTTACTGTGCAAGCGGGAAAATAGTTGTACTTGACAGCAGAAGAGGATTCTGGATGGGTAATCCTTAGTGATGCAACGATATAAAGAAGTAAATATTATTTTAAAATAGGTGTTTGTGCATTTAGTAATCAATTGCTGTAACGTTTTTTTAACCATCTTTCAGAGGCCTGACTTACAAAAACAGTGGGGTAGACATCGCAGCAGGGAATACTTTGGTCCAGAAAATTAAACCCCTCGCCGCAGCCACATCAAGGTCAGGTAAGACATGCACCTTCTGTTCCTGTTTCAGGCAGTCCATGGCCATGAGGCTTATCATTTGATCTTGATCTTGATTCAAAAGCTCATATTTATGTGTTCTGTGTGTTTCTAGATTACACCAGAAATATCTGTGGTAAGCAAATGCCTGTGATTCCTTAAAAATGTACTTTGTTAAAATTTACAGGTTTGCTTCTCGGAATGACTCTATATGTCCTGAATGTCATGCGTGTGAATAGTGTGTGCTAGTGAATACAGTTCAGCACCCTAAAAGGTTAAATGCAAGCAAAAATCCTACCATTTAGTGCTAATTTTGATTACATGGATTATTATTTCTTGCCCAGTGAACCATACAATTCATGTAGCCAAATGTTTACATTTGGTGTACAGGATGTAGAATTCCTCAGAGACACTGTCTGTTACTTGGGATAGATGTGGGAGACACATTTTTTCCTTGGTTAAGACAGAATCAATTTGTCCTTTTTTTTTGTTGTGATCTCAGGCACACCTTGCTCTAGCAAGTCCTTGTAATTCCTTTGATAGATTTAAAATATCACTCGTATGTAATAATCCTTTAACTTCACGTTGCCTGAGAACCTTCAGTCAATGTCACCTGTACGTGGAGGAAAGAAAACTATATGGACACTCACACTGGTACCACTGGTCACTTCTTAGCGTTCACGGTATTTTCTGCTCATGCTTGTTTCATTCTTGGGATTTAACCAATTTTAGTTTTAAGGTTACTGTACCTACCTCTCCTAACCAGTCATAGGAGCAAGCAGTCTTAGTATACTCTAAGTAGCAGTATTAACAGAGAGGGAAGGAATTTCAGTTGGAAAATGCTTAGTCAGCATCTTCTCCCAGAAAGCAGTGGGCTTCAATCTGTTAACACTTTTTTTTTTTTTTTCCAGTTTTTCAGAAAAATACTAAGTGCAAGGGGGAAATACATCAGTCACAGTAATTACTGAATGTTCAGTCACAAGGTTTTGGATTTTTAGCGCTAGGTAATAACGAAGAAATAAGACAAAGCGAACTTGAGAGGATTAGAAGGTCCTGTGCCTCCGTGAAGAGGCTCTAAATGTCAGAGGAAAGTTTCCTGGTGACAAAAGAAAGTCATGTTGACAGATACCAGAGAGAATTTGTGTTGGAGATCCTGGAGAAACCCATGAAAGGAAAGGTTTACCGTTTTTTCTGTGTTCTGGCTGGCAGGCTGCAATGCGGAACTCGGAGGCTTTGCTGGCCTCTTTGATTTGAAAGCAGCTGGTTACGAAGATCCCGTCTTGGTATCTGGAACCGACGGAGTTGGCACAAAACTCAAGGTAATGTGAAACTCCATGTAAAGGAAGGAAAATGGCACGGAAGGGAAAAATGCTTGATCACGTCAATAATGTTTTAACAGAAAACATCGGTTGTCTTTTAAAAATACCTATTTGTATTTCTAAAGAGGGAATGAAAATTGAAATTGCGCTCCTTCAGGCAAAAGAATTAAATATACGTTTAACTTCTGGCATGTAAATACCCATACTCGAAATGATGCTTAAAGTAACTCATTTTTAATGTTAAGTGCGTAGTCAGGGACACCCTTAAGCAGAATCTCCCCCCTCAACAAGGTTACTCGTGGGGAAAAGCATTTAGTCATACAGTTGCCGCTGTGTTTACGCAAGGCACGACGAAACCCAGCTCAGTCTCCTTCCGTCAAGTGCTTTTTGTACTCGCCGATTAAGAAGGTAACAATTCCTAAAATAAAGCATTAGGAGAGGGTCACAGGGATGATGAGAACCGAAGCTGCTCCTCAAAAGGCGTCGAAGAGGAGCAGCGCGATTTTGGTCCCCTCCTCCCATCGCAGGCTCTCGGCTCGCGTTTCAGTTTCTCAGAGCTAACCGACGGGTTCTCTCGCTGTGCTTTGCAGATCGCACAGGTGTGTAAGAGACACGACACCATCGGTCAGGACCTGGTTGCCATGTGTGTCAATGACATCCTGGCTCAAGGAGCGGAGCCCCTCTTCTTCCTTGACTATTTTGCCTGTGGCAAACTTGACGTTGAAGTGGCTCAAGGTGTCATTGCAGGAATAGCCGAAGCTTGCAAAAAGGCAGGATGTGCTCTTTTGGGTATGGACACTCTTTGAAGGATATGGAAAGTCTTACGCAATCTCTTTCTTATCGGTTTTAATGTGTTTGTTTTCCTACTCTACTGGAGAGTCTTGGAGGAGTGAAAAAGCCCCAAAGTGTCACATGTGTTTGCTTTCGGAGAACATAATCTCTGCCCACTGGA